CTCGCCGATGCGGATCGAGCACGTCGAGATCGGGGCGGGAGGCGTGTACGAGCAATCGCTCCCCGAGGGGTGGACGTGCATAGTCTACGTGCGGCGCGGTACCGTGGCGGTGGGCGGGGAGGAGGTTGGCATGCACGAGACGTGCCAGTTGGCGCGCCGCGGCGGGGACGGCCTCTCGCTGGCGTGCGTGGGCGGGCGGGCCGCCGACGTGCTCGTGCTCGCCGGCGAGCCGCTGGGCGCTCCGGTGGTCGCCTCGGGCACGATGGTGATGAACTCGCAGGCGAGATCCGCCGAGAGTCATCGAGAGTTGCCGAGATTGATTTGGGAGTCGCCGAGCCTGTGGCCTCGCCCTCCCCCTCCTCCCCAGTCTCGACCCTCCTCCTGCCCCCCTCTCGGCCTCGTCGCCGTCTCACACCCCTCCCCGTGGGCCCTTAGGCTGAGGTCATATCTCCCACAAATCTCCCCCATATCTCCCCCATATCACACCCCTCCCCGGTGGGCCCTTAGGCTGAGGTGGACCGGGCGGTGATCGACTACCGCCGCGGCGAGTTTGGGCTCCCGTGGGAGCACACGCTTAGCGACGAGGAGTGGGCGCGGCGGTGCGACGAGCGGCAGGCTGAGAGGGGGCGGGGGACCGGTGGCGGCGTGGATGAGGATGGCGTGCGATCGCCGTTCCCATGATCGAGAGACGAGAAATTGAAATATCTTATTAAATAAATAAATAAATAAAAACGGACACCTCTCTACTGTGAGATGGGTAAAAAGGAACAGGCCCCCGCCCTTGCGATCTTTGTGCAGGGTTCTTTGTGGGTGTGGTTGGCGACTAGCATGCGATGTGTACAGAGTGTCTCTAATTTAGAGAAGAGAGAGAATCGTTTAACAAAAAACAGACAACCCTCAACCCCGACATTAGTAAATCATTAGCACACGTGTCAAAGTGAATTGGAGAACTAGGAGCAGGCGCACATCGCTTCCAGGGAGGGGGGCGCGCTTCTCTCCACACCACATGCTAGGGGGGGGGTCCGACCCCCCCCAGCACCTTCACCACATGCTAGGGGGGGGGGGGGGGGGGGGACCCCCCCCGGCCCTCCCCCACATGTTGGGGGGGGGGGGGCCTTGACAAAGACCCCCCCAAGACTCCGGGGGAGGGCCCCCCCGCCCCTTATTTTTCCCCCCCATTTCGAGCATTTTTGCAGGGGAAATCTTCCCTTGGGCCCCCATGGGGCCTTGAACCGGGCCCAACTCCCCCACAAATTGGGCTTTCGACCCGAAATTTCCCAATTTGGGGCC